AAAAATTTCACGAAATGGTGTAGAGAAATAATTGGACGTTGGGCAAAGGTCGAAGAGAAAAGAAAATCCTTGTCCCTTAAGGAGAATCCGTTAAATCTTAAATGTTTGAACTGTTTGAGAAATAGATTAATTAGTAAAACCCATCCGTCCCCGCACCGATGTATAGTTATAGAAAGAATAGTAGCTTCACCTTTGTAAAAAAAAGAACTAAAGTCCCTTAGTCATGCATGTTGGTGAGTTGTCTTGCAATATTTTTCATTCATCGTTAACTATAAACCTTTTCTTTTCCATTTCGCCCAACAAATGCTTTGTTAATAAATGGATGATATTATGTCATTGTCTTATATAAAATAGATTCTTTTTTTTTTGGATGTGCTGAATAGACATCTGTACCCTGTATAAATTCTTGATTGATACTCTTTTCTTCATCTCAATAATCGTGATTATTGTATTATTCCCAATCAACAGATCGCCTCACTATCGTAAATAATGCTCACAATGAGTACCTAATTCTTCATCATCAGGTTGGAAAGAATTGATCGATTCAACATTACAGCATTACTAAAATTTTCCTTATTTAACATTTCCATTATATTAATGAGGTTTGAGTTTTTCGATATCATTTCCATAGTGTAATATCACTGGAAGAAATATTCTCAACTTAAGAGAGAGAAACGTTTTCTTGATAACATTCTTAAAAAAAACTATTTACAGAATTATAACCATGAAAACATTATCGAATAAATCTGGATAACTTAAGGACATTCTCAGGCACCGCTTTATCAATATAAACTGATTGACACATTTGATCTGATAGACCAATCAGATTCTTTGTTGAATCCATTTGAAGGAGTACCTAAATTGGGGAATAAAATTCGGATTTTTTTTGAAAGTATTTATTTACAGGTAAACCGTATTTGACTAATGTCAAAAAATAAAGTTTTTGAGTTACACAACTGCATTTATAAGCATCAAATTACCACATTTTTTTTGTATATAAACAATAAACAAATGATGGTGAAAATTTTTTATATATTAAAAGGTGATCCTTTCTTGCCCGAAAAATTTATTAAAAACACGAATGTTTAAAAAATTTATATACAATTGTTTTTTTTTTTTTTTACATATAATCGAGATGAATCTTAAAATTCATTTATATATAGCTTAATTGAAAATTTTGATGAGTTTATAATCATGAAAAAAATGTCGAAAATGTAAAATAATGTAAGTCTATAACATAATCTATCGGTTGATTGTCATTTTGCAGTATAACGAAAACGAGGATTGATATTATGACGAAATGATCATGACGAAGTGATTATAACGAAAAAATCAGACATTAAATAGTGACGAAAGAAAAAAAAATGATCATGAAAAATGAAATAAATAAAGAAAAATCATCTAAAACTGGTTAAAACCAGGGTGTAAATTTACAGGAAAGAAATCGGAACAATCGGATAAAGGGGAACTTGTAAGTGGAGTTGCCACGAATTGGCTTGTCACGATTTGATTTTGCACAATTTCAACGGACGACGCGTAATTGTTATTTTGAGAGTTAGGAGATAATATATTCAAATGATTAGATAATTCAATAAGATCATCAGTTTCCATGGCATTGAAATTTAACATAGTTGTTGGAGTTTGATTGACCGTAACATCAGAGATCTTTTGTACCAAATTTTCCAAATTAGTGATTCGATCAGTTAACAAATTAATGAATTTATCATCGTATTCACATCTTCTACAATAATTTGGGGGCTTGTTATTGATCTTCTTAACTGATCTTTTTTTTGGTTGCCGTGGGGTTGGTGGTAAAGTACGCCTTACGGTCATCACATGTGTCTGGCCAGTTGGATCAACATAACCTTCTTTAACGGCTAGAGTTTTTCTTCCTCTATTAGATTTCTTTACAATTGGAAATTGAGGATAAGGTTCGAAAGAGGTCGTTGATGAATTCATTACGTTAATTTGACACGTATTCAATGCGTTAATTCAATGCGTTAATTCAATATCAGATATTTTTTTTGATCTTAAACTTGAAGAATACGTTAATTCAATATCTGTGATCTTAAAGAGTCAGAACCACACGAGCGGATCTAATTGACAACGACATGATATTCACTTTATATACACACTCGAGGAAGCAATCCAACAATTGAGTCAGAAATACTCATATTCATTACATCATAATTTTCTTGTGGTCTCACATGTGAATTCCAGGTGACACAAATTATTAGGATTTCTAAATAAATTTAATTCATTGTTTGTGTGGTTTCAAATAGTGTTTCAAATGTGCATACGTGTAAGACAAATACGTAATTCCCGGTTTTTTCTTTGCATTGTCCTATTTGACTAGAATGGACATAATACTGTAATAGTCAATACATATATGAGCAAACTTTATGAGTTTCGAAACTGCGAATCAAACCGCCACCATTCAATTCCTACAAATCAGCATCCAAATTTATAAATTGATATTTAGAAATTTAACAAAGAAAATTATTTAATTATTGAGAACTCGTCCCACTATTCAATTAAAAATGATAATAGCGATAATTGAAAATCATTGTGTCAATGTTATTGGTAATTCGCTATAAGCCATGTTCCATTATACCTTATAGAAACAATAATTATCTATTTTACAAAAAAACCTTTCATGTAATAATTTCAAACCGATTTTTTTTTTAATTCATTGACCAACCAAGACCAATCAAGAGTACAAAAGTACCAAGAGCTCCAATGTAACATATTAACGTAACTATTGATCAACTTAGACATTAATATTTTTCATCAAAAACGAGCGACAGAAAGTTATCAATGGAACCGATTGTGGGAACATTCAATAATTAGTACAGTATAAACCCTTATTGCTTGTTATTATCGTCATTATTTACTACGTATTCTTACAATTTTAGAACAGTATTATGCATAGAAATAGAGTTTTTTGCCTACATTATTTGTTTACTATTTTAAAGTTCAAAATTGGGATAACCAATTCGAATTCAGTGTTTGCCGCCCTTTGTCATTATGGCATTCTAGAATATTTACTATATATTAATTATATTAATTATTAGCTATATATTCAGAATTTGTTAAATAAATCAGGAAACGGAAAACCATTGTAATTTCTGAAAAAAACGATGACGTATTTTGTATTACACAAATATACAAGTATGGTTAAAACAAAAAAAAATTTCAAATTACCGTTTTTGATAAAATTATATTATGAATGTATTAAAAACGACAATACAATAACTTCAAAAATCAGAACTTACGTTCCCGAACAATTATTGTCTTACATTTTTTATATTAAGAAATATGTTAATCGATATCCAAAAATTATTTTATTGGATATGTTTATTATACATTTTATAGAAACATTGTTATGAAAACCATCATTGTTATTATTACCACAAATGGTCGTATACAGGGTACGTATAGGCGTGTTTT